TATAGCGCGTGTTTAAGTTAAACTGACTGTGGAAATTAAGTGTATTGAAAAGTTGTATTGAGTAAGAATAAACAAGTTTTATTTAAGAAAGGACTTGTATCGCTGAAGTTCTTCGGAAATAATTTTTAGGGGTAATTAACCAATGAACACAGAGGCATAACATTGGTATGGAGGCTCATTAGGTCCATTTTCAGTTTTGCGTTTTTTACCACTACTTCGCCCCCTGTAAATGGATCGTCACCAAATTTGGTATGGAGGTTCATTGGGTCCATGGGGAGATACATACACATTTTTAGCTTTACATTTTTTATGGGCGTTTTATACCACTACTTCGCCCCCTGTTGATGGATCTTCACCAAATTTGTCATGAAGGTTTGTCGGGTTCATGCGGAGATAAATGCAAATTTGCGGTTTCACATTTTGTTTTGCAGCTTTGTGGGCATTTTTTACAACTACATATAAAGGAAGCAACTTTTCATATCCTAATATAACTTTCATTAATCATGAATTTACATAACTTCCGTCCAGGGGAATGGTACTCCAGCTATTATCATGTAAGGTACGAAATGCAAAAAAGCACTGTTGATAAATATTACGTACAAACAATTCAAAATCTCTGTGATAATCGATGAATCTAAAACTATTAATTGTAAAACTGTCCAAATAGTTTGCTTGAGAAGTGTTGCTGGTGTATCTAACACTACTGTCATTTTATTTTGACTTGGAACATGTGAAATGCAGAGCAAACTCAATATTGTTGTTGTCATTTCTGGCAGTTATTTAGATTTAAAAATAATTATTTCCGAAGAAATAATTACTAATCTAGGGTGCTCGAAGATTAAACAATCCTCCTTCACCCCGCTTGTAGTCTAGGAATATGGGCTTAGCTTGAGAAAACAGGAAGTTAATGCAGACAAGGTTTGTAAATTTAGAAAGGTAAACGTGAGAGTAATGGTAAAAATAAAAAGTGAAGAACAAAGTAGACTAAACTAAACTAAACGGCCGATGTCGGACTTGGTGGTCCATCAGGGCGGCGGGGATCTAAAAATCCTATGCCGAGAATTTAATGTGGGGGGAAAACGGGAGTACCCCGAGAAAACTCACTTTCACTGGTAACGACCAATTCGTTACCAATGCCCGGTTAGCGAGAAGAAGTAAGTAGGGAAGACAAAGTGAAGTCCGGTGCTGGGGTAGATTAGCTTTTGAATGAGTTGTGGAGTCTCCCGATGTTCTCCATGGTTTTATTGTGGAACAGTTTCCGGTTCCAGGCAGATGGTATAGGCGTGGGGTTCTCGGTGAGTGGGCGGAAAACACAGAAAGGTTCGTCAGGTAGGTAGAGATCGGGTGAAGTGTCAATTACTAGGGCGTTCGGTGAGTTTGACGCCGATGATGTAGAAAGTGTCTTGGGCTGGGAGGCGGATTATTGGTATTTTCATAGGCGTCGTTGGTAACTGGGCAGACTTGCGGCTGGGTCTGGGCGCCTTTTTTTCTCCTAGTAGTGGCGGTTTGGGTTGACATGTCTTGAGATTCAGGGGTGGGTGAGGTTTGAGTAGCTTGGTCTATTGTAATAGGATGGGCGGTACAGTACTAATTTGCGGTGGTTTTCTTTAGGGTGTTGAGAAACATGGGCTTGGGGGTGGGTTAGGTTTACCGTAAGGTTTTTCTGCCTTAAAGTGATGATAATCAAGGTAGCAACCGTGGGTGAGGATGAAATCTGCTATTGTTTTGGAAGTTGTAACGACTTTCATGAAGGTGGAGGGTGAACCTGTTTTCTTTGACTGGATACGGTGGACTGAATGGATCATAGAGTTGATTGTAATTTCCAACGCTTGGTGAATTTCCTCTGGCGTAAAGGATAAATGAACATTCCTGAGAAATATTGAGTGGAGACTGGCATTGCCTTTGGGGGGTTGGCAAGTGACGTGAGGGTTTGAAGACCAAGGGTGGCGAAAGTCTTCGATTGACTTGGGTTGGAGGAGTATACCTCCCATACGTAGACATCGGGTGCGTTCAGGGAATACTCGGGCTTGTAGTGGCAGACGAAGTTAGCCGCGTCCCGCGGCGAGAAGTCGAGTGGTTGTCCGTCGATGATTAACGGCGGCGTAGGGTATGAGACAGACTGCATACTGGCATGTACGAGGGTCGATAGCTAGCGAGATGATGCCCATTTATGATGCCCTTATAAACTGTTTACAAAGATCCGGTTTTTTGTTGTTGTAGTATCTGATAGGTGTGCTTTCGTTTATATTTTGATGGAGTATCAGTAATGCTAGGACGAAAGTCTGGAGTTGCAAAACTATTTCTTTATTATTTCCCTAATGCAACTGTTTGTAATGTGTATTTTTTAGAGCCGAGAGAACAAACTCCTTGAACACAGCAAGAGTTTAATGTTCATTGATTGAGGATTAAAATTTATTGTTGGTTCAGAAAAAAGTCTAAAGTAAGGGAGGGGATGAAGGTGCTGTATATAAATATATCGTGCATTTCTATCTTCTCGTATTATAATTTTTTTTCTATTTCTGTGTAGGTTTCACATAGCACGTTAATTTCGTTCTTGTTATCTGATTAAGGATCATTCTTATTTCCTACTGTTATTAGCGGATGAGTCTAAATAGCTGCAACACGCATATTCTATGAAATCGTTTGCATTGTGTGATGTAACAAAAATAGTATTGCAAAATATTTAACTTTAAATTTTGGTTTTGCTTTTAAATTCAATTTTATTTCTACGAAGATGTGTGTATATATACATATATAATATTGTACAGTGTTCCATCACTTCTATCGTTTGACCAGCAAGTTCTTTTAGATTGCTTGGTGAAAATATTGGGAAGACCAGTGCACGGAACAGTAACAACTTAGTCTATTTCTTTTTATTTCCCACGACATTTCTATAACCACATTAATTCAAAAGTTGTAGGCTTAATTGCTGCAACAATGTTTCAGCACTAACTCCACGACAAAATGTAGGCCCAATCTCAAGTATAATAGTAAGGGGGGAAACGAACTTAACCTAAAACTAGCTTTATTAGATAATAAAGCACGTAATTCCCCAAGGTTATAATTTCATTGTATAGGTCATTGGTTAGGCCACATTTAGGGGGTACCGTGTTCACTCTCAGGCTCCTTACCTTAGGAAGGACATTGAGGTATTGGAAATGGTTCATAGCAGAGCTATTAATATAATACGTGGGATGGAGAGGTTGTCGTAGGAGGATAGATTAAGTTCTCTAAACTCGCTCTCTTTTGAAAGAAACAAGAGTCAGAGGGGATAATTTTTCGTACTTAATGGTGAAATTGGTAGAACTAGGAAAAACATATAAATTTTGACAGGAGTAGGAGTCATCTTCAGCTAAGTTATATTTCTAACAGAGCATTTGGCCTTTGGAATTGGTTGCCTTCAGATGTAGTAGATGGGTTAAATTAAGGAAGTTTAAGAGAAAGCTTGATGAATATTTGAATGATAAGGGCTGGTTTTGAGATTTTTAGTGGATAGGACAGCCTAAATGGACCAGTAACAGAAAACATGTTACAACTGTCACCAAATGTTCATTCATTATCAAATGAACTGTAAATCATTGAGCTAGTTTACGGAATATAGATAAAACAAATTACTGATGGTTGTTGCTCAATAGTTATTGATCTTAAAATGATTTAATTTTGGAATATTGTTTTTAAGAAATAAGATTTTTTTCTTCTTCCTAATTTCTTTATTTATTGAAATTAATAAATTGATATTTATGTTGTATTGTTTAATAACGTTTGTATTCCAATTATGGATTTCTGTTGTTACAGTTTAATAAATTGTGTTTTCTTTGAACCTAGTTGCAGAGGTGTGTTGTTACAATATTATATACACTAGACAGTTAAGAGAGTGTAGTGTTTGAAGTATAATAGAGTGAATCAGCTTGTGTTTTCCTGAAGTATCTGCTATCATGCATATCGAGTTACTTTGTACACTTACGTTAGTAGTAATATTGTTTGAGAGGTTTTTGTTCATATATACTGTAGGCTTGAAACAAGTTACGACACTGTACAAGTATTCAAGCTTGTAGGAAATAAAGTAATTTTTTCTTGTCATGCAGACTAAACCTTTAATTATTTTCTCCAGATAATTTAAAGGAACCCCCTACGATAAAGAACAATAATAAAATTTTTAAAGATTGTTCTTCCAGAATTACTTTCTTCATATGATAACCATGCTATTAGTGTAGTATGTTGATTTTATAGGAGAGAGTATTTATGAAGATCACAAGTTGATTTTTTTCTTCAACAAGTATTTTTGACTTAATTACGATACAATTGATGAAACCCATATTAGGTACAAAATGAAGACATCACTGGAGAAGTGAGTGGATACAAAATGTTTAAAATTTACAAATTTGTACAGACATAAAACAGGTGCAGGTAATAGCCAATACCTCTTTTATGTTAACTTTTATGAAGAAAATATTCAGTATTAAACTTTTCAATGAAGATCTAGAACTGCCGAGGTGAATTAATATCCCTTCAAAACAAACAAATGAAAATGTAGCCTTAAAATAAACAATGGAATGAAGAGTCTTTGCTGTAACATAAACATCATCTATTACTCTCCAACTGTTCCAAGTTCCTGATAATATGATTGGGAATACTCCTCACTGAACGCAGCATTTACATCCAAGTTCATAATGGCTATTCTTTCAATGTCATCTAAGCTCAGACTGCTCACAGAAGAAGAAAAATCCTGTAATAATAATGAAATAGAATTATCACAAATGAGGTGTTGTAATTCTTTGACGTTGTGTTTTTTGTAGGATCTTGTTAAATACTGTCCATATGTATGTGACCCATTAGATGCTATAAATACTTGTGTAATACATGTTAACAAACTCGCCAATAGTATCTTGTCAATATGGAAAGTAAAGAACTGAATATATATTTATACAAACACGCATATCAAAGAGGTAGATTGGCAGTGTCTAAATGTTTTGAATTATTTGAGAGAGGAGATTAAAAGGTAGTGGAATTGTGGAAAATTAATAATTGGAAAAGTCATAATGCTTAGTCACACACCATCTGATGTGTATGACACCATTCAACTTAAACCAGAGACTGAAGCACAAGTTGGAATTGACACACAAACCCTAGTAATTGTTAATTAGGTCTGAAGCGATACATCTTAACACTTTCCTTACCTGAAAACGTATTTCAGATAGATACCTTTCAACAGAACATATAGCTAAATCCTCATGTCACTTCTAAAAATGCACATTAACATCAATCTATACAGGCTAATGAACTACTCCTAGCCATTAATAAGACAGTGTCAACAAGATCTAGCATGTACAACAACAGAGAAGCTATAACCTGGCTAATGACCTACTCCTAGCCATTAATAAGACGGTGTCAACAAGATCTAGCAAGTACAACAGCAGAGAAGCTATAACCTGGCTAATGACCTACTCCTAGCCATTAATAAGACGGTGTCAACAAGATCTAGCAAGTACAACAGCAGAGAAGCTATAACCTGGCTAATGACCTACTCCTAGCCATTAATAAGACGGTGTCAACAAGATCTAGCAAGTACAACAGCAGAGAAGCTATAACCTTTATAGTAAGGATTCTTTGGGTAACAAAGTTGTAAAGCAGGTTTCATGCATTTTGTACACATGGCATAAAGACCATTATATTATTTTCAACAACAATTTAGTGGTTAGGCTAAAGAAATATGTTTTATAACATCTCAAAAGTAAAAATACTTTTGAAACCAATTTACTCAATAATGCATGTAATGATATTTACTCTATGTTTTACAAGTAGACAATCTGAAATATACAACATTATTAACTTTCTTTTTTCAAGATATCACCTTTTTAAATTGTTCTAACACACAATTTGCATCAGAAGGGCTGAAGTGTTTGAGAAGAAAATTTTCAAGTTCATTCCACAATACCACTGACTGGCTGGTGCTGTTGGCATCTTTCTCTTCTTTTCTAACAAAAACGTGTAGTTTATTTCCTTCCATGATGTTGTAGTCACATAGATTCAGGCCATCTGCTTATAAAATATTAATAATACATAAAACATATGTTACTAAGCTTATAAGTTGTGCAACAAAATTAAGTTGTGAACAAAATTCTGTCTACTGTTTAAAACATTAAGATAAGGGCATTCCATAATCAAGTTGGCGAAACACATGTTAAGGTGAAAGGTATGTGATTGAGTTATCAAAATTTTCATTTCACTGGTTTAAAAACATATGCAATATGAAAAAAACTGTCTTTTTGGTTCTTTTCCAAAATTTGTAATATATATACTGGAGGGGGTTTAGACATTTTGGTAATAGAGTTAGAAAAAAAAACACCTTTACCCTCCAGATAATAACAAATCTAATTATTATCTAATATTTCAAAGCACAACTTTAAAGAATATTACCATCAAGGTGGCATGTAAAACATGATTTTTTGCATCTGTTTATGACAGAACACACATTATTACCTGCAGGCACTGGAGCAAAATTTCCACCCCATTTTATTATTTTGTGATGCAGTAGACCAGATGATGTCTCTAATAATACCCACCCTTTTCATCTTGAAGTGTATTGATGCATCATGTTATTACTTCTTAAAATAAAAAATGTGCAGAAACTCTTTATTTTCAAAAATATTTACAGAACTGGCTTTGTAAGTTCATATACAAATGTTCAAAGTCTTAAGAATAATTAAGTTTAAATAAACTTTGTTAACTGACAAACAGTCATTCAGCACACAAACAACTATTTGAAAGCACTCTTCAATAATATACATTCAAAAGCCATTAACCTAGAAGTAATTTTTTTCAAAATCTATTAGGTCTATAGTGGACTTGCCAAATCAAAGGGCAAGTACTGGTACAAAAATAGATTAAAAACACCATTAGAGAAAGCACAGAAACATTTGACACTACCATACCTGAAAGAGTTTCCCCTCTAAATACTAGCTGCTGTTGATCAACAGGAATATGTAGTTGTTGGGCTACCAAACGTTTCACATCATTTATTGAAGAGGAAGCAGCCACCTGGAAAACAAAAGAATTTAAGTTTGTTAAAAACAGTTTGTAAACTTGAAGAATAGTACATGTATAAATACTAATTCTAGCAAGATGATTCACACTTCTTTGGAATTTTGGAAAATGAAATTAGACTTCAGTAGATATTAAAAAATACAATATATTGGATTTCAGAGTTGGTAACTACATCTTAAATGACAAACACATGCAATGAATAGTAGTTCCTACTGTGACCATAACATCTCAGTCAACTCTATGTCCAAAAGTACCTGTTATAAAAAGCTGTTGGAGTTACAATGTATTAATTATAATTAAGAGCCAGTTTTTATAAGAGTCATGCGGGCGGTGATTCATGACCCCTTCAGATTTGTCACAAACTTTTTTTTTAGGTAGATATATATTGGTAACGGAC